AAAAAAAAAAAAAAAAAAAAAAACAGCTAAAATGGGACGATATAAAAAACTTCTCTCAAAATTTAGGAATATATATTTTTTTTTTAACAGAGGGGGCACTTTTGTAACTTGTTTCATTTGCAACTACAAATAACCGAAGCACGGGAGTAAACCGCGGTGGGGCATAGGAGGCGGGGCCTTCCACACATGGGGGTATGTACCATCGCAGGGTTCTTTTAACTCTTCTGCTTGGCAGAAAAATGGTTGATGGTGCTGCGTGTGTACAGGGGTGGAACATTTCAAAATTGTCTACCTTTCTTTTGGAAGCAACACCCCCCTTACCATGTGACAGTCACACGAATTTAATTGTTGTACATTTTCCCACCATGTTTGGCATTCCCTTACATGTGATGGAGGGAACGCACTGAAACGGGAGATCGTCGTCATGTCCCACCTTTGCCTCCATTCGATGGATTTTCTTCCCCTCCTTCCCATTACACACATTTTTATTGGCAACCCCTTCCATTAGAGCAGCATATAATTTGTGAAGGAAAAGGTCGCGTTGGGACAACAGCAATGTGCATTGTTTGATAGCACACCTGAGGGGTGACACGAATTGGGCAGGGCGTACCTCCACTTAACCAGTTATAGTGTATCACCTTAATGTGTGTGCCGTCCTGATACAGTTAGCTTTTTTCCTCGTGTGTAACACATCGCATGTGCGATAAGACTTCTTTATATGTGCCGCTACTACGAAATTATTCCCCCCTAAGCAATTGAGCCACTCGGAGGGAAAAAGCACTTTTAAGGCACGTTGCCAGAGTGACAATAAGTTGAGTGTCGACGAAGGTAGCCACACACACACATACACAAAAAAAAAAACTACACAGAAAAAAAAAAAAATAAAAAAAAAAATCAGCACGGAGTAGCTAGCTTCCCGCCGCATGTTCCCCGCGTTGTGTGAACCACTTCAACTCACGCGTCGCCTGCGCTGAGCGCCTGCTCGTGTTCCTGCATGTCCCGCAAAATATCATTTTTCATCCGCACGAGCAGCTTGTACTCTTCAAAAAGGTCAGCCAACTGCGAAACGGTGAGACCGTTGAAATTGTCCTCCCCCTCGAAACGCAACGGTACAGCTTCTATTTTGTTAATAACATTAACACAAAGCTTCTTCTCATTTGAGAGTTTAATAAAGTTGGTGAGTTTCCCCGCGGCTTCCTGCAACTTCTTATTGCTCTCCTTAACTTCGTCCAGGTAAAACTGCTTCGCCTGGGAGACCTTTTCTTTGTATTCCTCCTCAGGCATGTTGAGGAAGGTAGACTTACCAAGTTCCTTAATGAACTCCACGCCACTGCAGAACTGAGTAAAGGAGTAGGCTTCCTCCGACACAAAGTGGTTTGGGTGCCGAAAGTTTTGAATGTACGCAATGTTCGAAATAAGTTCTGGTGGGTTGGTTTTGATAATGACGTATATGATCACGGGGAGTACTTCATCCGCGCAGGGCAGCAGCTCGTCGTCGTCCTGTTCAACTTCCGCAGCGTCCGCAGTGTGCGCAACGTGCCCTTCATCACCGTCACGGTGAGAATCCTGCCCGTCACTTTCCACCGTCGTCTCAACATTTTCCTCAACCGTGACGAGATCACCCCGCTGGCGCACTGCGTGTTTCTTCCCCCCGCGCTTGCGCCTCGAACTCTTCTTGGCCGCATAAACAGCTGCCGTGACGATGCGGCAACAGTTAAGCACCATGATCAGCTTATCGTTTGGGGCCCTCATCTTTTGTATTCGCATGAGTTCCGCCTGCGCCTGCTTTAGTCGTTCCAATTGAATGCCCTGTGTTATTTCCAAGTGCTTGAGTTCAACCCACTGCAGGCAATTTATTTTTGTGTATATTTTCTCGTCCTCGTCTTTGTCCTTAGGATCCATTCTATACACATGGGGGTGCAATTTCTGAAGAAGGAACTTTTCATACCCCTCAATGATTACATTTGCCTGGTACTTATTTACATTCTTATAAATGGCACAATGAAGAAGAATCGGTTGTGTCTCATTTATGAATTCATGAATTTTTTTTGCTGCGGCCTCTCTGCTAACATCCTTGGGGAACCTGTGAATGAACGTCCTGACCTGGTCAATTACACTTCTACATGAGGGATGCTTCAGGCTTTCGAGGAAGTTATTGTATAAAGTGTTTGGCTTTCTTCTGCTGCCGGAATTGGCTTCGTCCGCTTCGCCCTCTTCGTTCGCCTCTCCCACGTCTGCCGCGTCTCCCGTCTCTGCCGCTTGTCCCGCTTGTCCCGCTTCTTGTTCTGCCTGCTGCGCGTTGTCACGTTGCAGCGACGCTTGTCCATTGGACCCATCCTCTGGACTCCTTCCCGCATCTCCCCTCTTAATGAGCGAAATGAAAATGTCCTTAAATTTTTTTCCCCTCTGTGGAAAGGGGAACCTGATCCTCAGGCCGCTTTCCCCCCCGACCGGATTGTTCCCCACACCATTGCCGCATTCATCATTAAGAGGAGGAGGGTGTTGTTCCACCTCTTCTGTGTTGAGATTTTCTTCCTTCTTCCTCTCCTGCTCCACCACCCCCTCCCCTTTCGCTACCCTCTCTTCCCTTTTTATTACGTTCCTGTCGGGGGAGTACAGAGTATCATGCCTCTTCTTACCCAGCTCTGTCGTGGGGTGCTTTTCATTCGTGCTGACGTGGCCACTCAGAGCTACCCCCTTGCATTCAGCTTGGCTGGTTTCCTCCTCCGATGACCGGTCCGTCACCCCCTCGACGCGTTCCATTGGTTCCCCTCTTAAGGTTAACTGTGTGTATATGTTGGTGTGCTGCACCCCCTGCGCATTCACTTCGTTGTAGTAGTGTTGATTTGCGACAAGCCCACCTTCTTGTTCCTTTCTCCTTTGGCCCTCCTGCCCCACGTTTTGCGAGACAGGCTTTCCGCTGCCACTTCGTTGGTGAGATGTAGGGTCCGTGTGTGTCTCCCCCTCGCATGGCGATGACTCCCTGGGGGGCTGCTTCTTCCTTGAGGAGCTTCTCCGTTTGGTTAAACTTTTGTCTGATCGGTTCAATTGGATGTCCCACTCGAGGGGGTCCTTATGGCCCCTCTGGGTTGTAACTCCCGCAGACGCGTCCTCTGCATCCTCCGCGTCATTCGCTCCGACCCTGTTCTTATAATTGAGGTACTCTTTAATTTCTCGAAAGAATTTACTCTCCTCGCTGAGCGCCGTGGTGTCGAGCAGACGTCCCTCATCATCCGATGAGGACACCATCTCGTTGTTGCTATTCTTCTCCTTCTTCTTCTTCATGTTTGTTTTGACTTTTCCTCTCGTGTCGTTCAAGTCGTCACGGGGGACAGGTCGTCGTCCTTGCGTGCCCCTCGCATCATCACCACCCCTGCTACTGCTACTACTCATGATAAGACTAACTTGTGTGTTCGGCTTCCCCGACGGCTCCGACAGAGTGGTAGATACAGACCTCATTAATCGGTCCGTACCCCTAACACTCCTCCTCACGCTTTCTTTTTTTGAATTTGTTATTTTTTTCTCTTCCTCGTGGGGATGGTCCATCTGGTGGCTCCTCATTGAGCTTACCGACCCTCTCGCACTTCCGTTTTGGTGACTGCTCATGTTACTATCATGTAGAAGACTTCTACTCGAGGGAGTCTTCTTTACTTTATTTATATGCGCACTTGAAGAGCTCCTCCTCCCCCCCCCTTCCCTCGAGCCAACCTCCTTCACCTGCTTCTGTTTAATATGTAAGTAGCGACTCTCCCCGCTCGCTCTTACTGTGACACTAGAATGTTCCGTGCGCCCTCCATTCATATAATCATCGTGGCACATGTCCTGGTGGCTGAGCTGGCCCCAATCTCCACACCGGTCGACCTCGTGGGAAGTCTCCCCTCCGGAGATAAACTTGTAGTTATACAGGTTCGTCTTCCTTTTGAGGAGGAGGTCCTCTTCCAGCTGTTGCACCTCCCCATCGGGGTTATCAACAGGGTGGCTGTTACTCTCCCACAGGTCAAATGATGAATTCATATTCGCTTTCACTTGAGTTAGTCCTTGTCCCACGTCTTCACTTAACACATTCGTTCTGTGATCAACTCCTTTGTTAATCTGTTCTCCCTTCTGTTTCTCTTTTATTCTTCTTCCCCCCTGGGATGGCATGCTCTCATTCGAGTCGAACCAGAGGGCACTTCTCGCAGAGTGCACATCGGTGGAGCACCTCATGGAGGTAGCATCTGGTATAGAGGCGTCTCGTATAGAAGCGTGTCGTACGGAGGTGTGACGTACAGCGGCGTTACGCACCGAAGCGTGACGTGTCGTGTGATGGTCTTCCCCCCGCGGAAGGCTCTGCTTGCTGCTCCCTCTTACCAATTTGGCTTCACTTCCGGATAATACATTTCCTGTGCTACTCAACTGTGGCGCCTTCCTCCTCCCATGGGTACCTTCTAAATTGCTACAAAAAAAATCTTCTTCATTCATTTCGTCACCTCCTGTCATCTCAACAGGTAATCCTTCTCCCTGCACCCCCCACTCATCGTCCTCGCACAAATAACTCCTTGAATACATGGTTAAACCATTTGCTCTCTCACGCGTGGCATGTTTATAAAAAAAAGTACATGCCGCTAGCTCTCTTCTCCCTCGGCGGTTCTCCGGTTTGCTAAGCTGGGCAGGGATGACAAATCGGCCTCGCTTGCAACGTGTGTTACAAAAGTTTTTTTTTTTTTGTTCGTTTTTTTAAAGTCCGCTCGCTGGTGTCGTACCCCTTCCTACACGATTATGCTGCGCAACGACGTGCGTGAGGGAGTTATATGAACACACTCGCGACAGGCTACCAATGCTACACGCACAAGTGGGATAGAAGCGTTATATTAAAGAATCGGCTTCCCCACTCTATCCAGGAGACACTAATGAAGGAGCAGAGACGGAATGCGTGTATGCGTGGGGGGAAGTGCGGCCGAGTGTACTTTGGCTCATCAGCAGAGTAACGCAAACAACGAAAAAAACTAGCGACACGCGAGAGGGTAACGGCTGTACAAGCAAGGAACGAGTGGCCCCTCAGGTGCCTTTGGTGAATTGTACCGCCTGCCCACAGTTGGTTAACGAAAAAAAAAAAAAAAAAAAAAA